ATTAGTTAAAAATAATTTTACATTTAATAATTTTAAATCTTTATTACTAAATATATAAATATATGAAATTATAGTAGGTATAATCGACAACCATTTCTGTCGATTATAGCTAGTATATTCAACAGCCATTGTGGTTGTCGATTATACTTTTATAATCGACATTTTATCATAATCAACAGAGTTTTTGTCGATAATATAAATATAATCGATAGCTTTTTGACTGTCAATTATATTTTTATCGATTATATGCTGTTTTCTAGTAGTGTCCCCCCGAAACTAGATCTGCTTCGTCTTTTCTCTTTTTTCTACTTGGTGATTGCAGAGAGTGATGGTGATGAAAGTGATGATCAGTAAAAGGATGGTAACCAAATGGGGAAGATAATGATGATGGTGATGACGAATGATGAATGGAGACAGTGGCTGTGTGGTGGGCGAAGAAGCTGGTGGTGATGATGGCTGAAATTTGGGAGGTTCTGGAAAGAGAAGGATCTAGAGCCCTTTTGTTTCCTTTTTCTTTTTTCTTTTTTTATTTAATTTCAGGGAAGTTCACCTCTTCGATTCTAGCTTCCCCTGCATGTGCAAGTCAAAAATGGCAACCATCACCGGAATTCCAAACCAGTAGTGTTGCGACACAAAAATTGGATGTGTACGCCTTCGAAGTATATGTAAATGACATGGGGATTAGGGTCTCTAAAGGAAGTTGATGAATTGGGATTAGGTTGGGACTAAGATGGGTCCATGAAATGGGAAGGGGGTGACACAGTGTAAAAAAAATGATGGGATGGTACACATTAGCCTCCAATGTGTAAATAGCTGACATGCTGGCATGGGTTAAACGGAAATATTCATGGTGATGATGTTAGCAGTTAAACAATGAGTGATTTGAATTAGTTGATAATTTTTATAGGCAAATGTCCTTTCATTTTTGTGGAAAGTGAATCCATCCCTTCTCATCTTTTTTAAGGGCGATTTAAGGGTTCTACCTATTGAAAACCCAAAGCCTTACCCAAGTTTTTATTTGGCAAAAGCCCTTCTTAAGCCCCAAAGCTTTTTCAATAGCAAGTGACAAGCCTCTAAACTAAAAAAGTGACAAATAAGGCCTCCAACCTCACGTTGGGTGCAAATCTGCCCCTCGGCTAACTGACTTCGTGACGCCGTTTGCAGTTGGCTTGCGTGGTATTGCACTTGCACGCCTTTGCATGTTTTTTCATTTTTTTTTTTTTTTTTTTTTT